GCAGATATTAAAATTCACATATTGGATGTTTCCATATTGAAATATCAACCACAGGTCTCTTTCTTATTCCATTCAAAACCACTTTGCATAGTCCAGTTACTGATCCTCACAGCACCCCAGTGAAAAAGGCAGTATTATGCTTTAGTTTCTCAATAGTCATGTGAAAGTTTGGTAATTTGCCTACCCCAGGGAAAAGAAATAGCAATTTCAATAAGAGTCCAAAGTTCCTGAATCCAGGTGCTTTGATCAGACTTGGGACATTGACCATTATTTGCCACATAAACTGAAGTCTTTAGTTGTATACCATCTAACCAATATGCATTCTGGCTTCTCTAACTTTCAGTTTCCTCATTTCCCTTTGCTTTCCCTGCCGGGATCTCATGCTATAATTAGCCTCAGGTTGGAGGAACTGGCAGGAAAGTTCAGTACCAACTCGGAATGTTTTCCATCATTTGACCAAACCTCGAATGCTGAACATTTCTAACATTCAAAGAGGGTTTGTTTAAGTTTTCCAGTTTTACCCTCCTGGTTTCAAATGCCACCAGATGCAGAAGGGCCAAAACTCTGTAAGGAGAAACTATTTTAAACAAGCTTTCTGGCCCAGAGCAGCCTGAAAGGACCCAGATGCATCTGAGAGAAGTAGCCAAACCCCTCGGTGCCTGCGCAAATGGAGCCTCTGGAACCTGGGAGGCTTGTGTGTTCCAAGGATGCAGAATTCAAGAGTGGGCCCCTTCTTTTGGAGAAAAGCAGGGCATGACCTTGGCAAGGCAGTGGCTGGAGAGCAGGGCCAGGCAACCCTCTGGGAAGGGGACAGCCCATGGCGGGACTGCAAGGCCACCTGCAACGCTGCCTGCCATGTGAACATGTGCTGTGTGTCTGGAAGAACTCACAGGATTAATGTGTTTCCAAACTGCAAACCAGGTGAAAACTGAGAATCTGGTGCCCCTGGAGGAAAAAGCCCTCTGTTTATATACACATGGCCACCAGCTAGGCCGATGGAGCACACGGGGCGCCTCCCTGCATTGTGTGTCAAACCTCAAACTGTAAACTTGACCCAAACACGGCACTTGAGAAGTCTCAGTGACAATCCAAGAAAATGCTACCTTAGAGGACATGAGCCTTGCCTCTTGTGGGTTTCTGCTATCTAGAAACATCCAAGACTTATAAAATTATGTCAGAACAACAAAATAGAAAAGTTTCAGAAAGCTCAAAGGAAAAAGACATCTCGAAGAATGTAAACACTTACCATGTTATTCTTTCTTTACTAAATTCCAATAGATGCAAGGCTTTTCTTAGAGCAATGCTTCTTAAACTGTAACGTGTATAAGAACCTCCCAAGGAACTTGTAAAAATACAGATTCTCGGCCAGACACGGTGGCTCATTCCTGTAATCCCAGCACTTTGGGAGGCCAAGGGTGGATCACCTGAGGTCAGGAGTTCAAGACCAGCTTGGCCAACGTGGAAAACCCCTGTCTCTACTAAAAATACAAAGAAAATAGCTGGGTGTGATGGTGCACGCCTGTAGTCCCAGCTACTCAGGAGGCTAAGGCAGGAGAATTGCTTGAACCCAGGAGGCAGAGACTGCGGTGAGTGCCAAGATCATGCCATTGCACTCCAGCCTCAGTAACAAGAGCTAAACTCCATCTCAAAAAAAAAAAAAAAAAAAAAAAAAAAAAAAAAAAAAAAAAAAAAAAAAAAAGTCATTCAATAGACCTGGGATGGAGCTCACAATGCAGAGCCTCAAAAAGCTCCTGGGTGCCATTGACACTGAGGACCCCCAGTCCACAAGTAAAGGAGAAAGCAGTTAAAACTCTTCCGTTTGAAATACTTCTCCTTAGCTTCTCTTCATATCATTAGATATTCAAGTGGAGGGTTGATTTCGATGTCTGCCTTTTCTCTTTCTTTTTTCCTTTTGAAATCATATTTCTCCAACAATACATCTTCATCTAGGAAGAGTTAAGAAGCTTTGAGGTCTGTGTTCCAATTTAAAAATCATCTCCGAACTCCTTGTCAGCATAGAAAGGAAGTTTCTGGATAGATTCCCTATTAGAAAGCAGGTTTTAAAAAATAAGGAAAATCCACACTACACAGAGAAAATTCAGCAGAATTGTTCTCCTGGGATTTTAGACTCCAACCAATTTGGGTGGTCCATCTCTGCCTCCGTTTTCTGACTGGAGAATCTACTTTATAATGGACGTGTGGAGTTCAGAGACAGCACGTGGCAATCACGTAATAAAGATGCCCAACAGAGAGTGCTTTAATTGGATTGGACTGTGCACATAAGTCTATACCTTAATTACGGGGTGATGCAACTTAACACCTTTCAACCCTTGCTGGCATTTTCATAGGGCCATTAAAAAAGACTCCTGAGCATGTTCTCCCCACCCCACCCCCACCCATGGTGGCATTTAGAAGCTGCAGCCAATCTGAGCAAGAATGAAAACTGTCATCCAATTCCTCGGCAAAGCCACCATGCACTGCAGCCACTTGGGTACAGTTCCCAAGCCAGAAGCCCGGGGTCTGAGTCACTTGCAGGAACTAGGACGGAGGGTGTGGGTCAATACACAAACTTAAAGAATCCTAAACCGTTCTAGTTAAGATAGGATTAAGCATTTCTCCAGGCGGTTCACTGATGACAGATGTGCCCTTTTGTCTTGGGCTCCTGGAGAAGTGGTAAGGCCAAGTTCACCAGCAGCTGGCTGAGGCTTTACTTATTGTCATGACCTGGAGGGTGCCCAGGAACGCTCCAACTGTTGCCTCACCAAGCTGTGAAGTTATGCTGCGGCTGTCGTGGCTATGAACCCCGCCCAGGAAGGCTGTGCAGGGCCAGTCTGCAGACCTTTGCATTCTGCCCCCTGGTGCCCGTTGAGACCTCAGCCCCGAAGATGACAGCGTACAGCGAGGCTTCAAGGAGCCCCCGCCTTGAAGTGTCTTTATATTCTAACTTGTTCTAGGAAGACCTCCTCTAGGAGGAATAGATAGAGATCTGGCTCGAGCTAGGCCCGAAGAGAGAAGTTGAGAATCCAGGCAGTTCGCTGACATATCCAAACCCTCCTCCCAAGCGTCTGGACACCTAAGGCTAAAAGCATCTGGGGAGTTTCTAAAATTAAATCTCCCGAGGATTATTCTGCATGGCCCCTTGAATTGCTAAAGTCATTATTAAGTGTGAGTGACTCTGCAGTGGCAGCTGCACGTTCCAGCCCTCAGCTCTTAGGGCCCTTCCAGGGAATATGAAGTGTGGGAGAGAAAAATTAACCCAGTTTGGGGTTCAACTCAGGTCTGACTTTATTAGGGAGTGTAACAACACAGGCCCATTACGTTCATTGTGTTCACAGGGGATTTGCACTGAGAAGCAATATGAAACATGCATCACATTTAAAGATTCACAAGCCTCATAAAAGAGATGTAGCATTATTATTCTTTGTTAGATGTTAGCAAAGTCTCAACATGTGGCTGGCTAACTTCTCACAAGTGTAAGAGAAAGCGGTCTGTTGAGTTTCAATTCCTGCTTTAGTCAAAACAGGAGTAAGTAAAAATTGTGTCTGTTCCTTTTGAAAGGTCTGTGCCATGGAAGCTACTGTCATTGTGGGTCTTTGTGTGTGAAATTAAGTGGATGAGGGAAAACCGAGGGAGTGTTGTGAGAGTTCAGCCTTTCCAAAGCACAGGCTCTGGCTACTGCAGCTGAGAATCCAGGACTGGCACTTACAACCCATCATCACACGGGTTCTCTCGAGCCTGTGCGTCAAAATTTCATGTGCACGGAGTGCTATGGGGATGTAGGTAGAGCAAAATGCAATAAGGTAGAGTTAATTAGGAAAACAAGACTTTCTTTGTCTTGGAACTACAAAACAAAATGATGTTTTATTTGTCAGCAGGTAAAGCCAATGGGGCAGGAAAAGAAGTATGTGTGACCAGAGTAGTTTGCCCACTTATAAAATTATCCCATTTTTAGCATCTTCAAAGAGTCATGTCTGTCTAAGGTAGAGGACAGGTGTGCTATATAATATTTATTAGCCCCAGGAGAAGGTGCTTGCCCTGGAGAAGTGTTTCCTCCTGGTTCTCCTTCTATTGTGAAATCCTCAGGTGCTCAAAGTGTAGTTTTACCTACAGGTGTAAATTAGCCTGTTGATTTGAATTGAACTAGAGAAAGGTGATGCAGGGAGCCTTCCCACGTGAGAACACAAACTGCAGAGCAACCACAGCTTTGTTCCAAATACAGAAATTCTCTTTGCTTTATTTTCCTTTGGCTTCCTAATGTGTGTGTGTGTGTGTGTGCGTGTGTGTGTGCGTGTGTGTGTGTGTGTAAGAGAGTACTATGATTTTATCTCTTTACTGAGCTACATACTGAAGTTGTCCATTTAGAAGGAATGAAACCACATAATTTTGGTTTCATTAAAATAGTCTTTTTATTTCAAAAGTAAAATTCTTTTCCATTCCCAGGCTTTAAAATACCTGTGAGTTGCCAGCCCCTTGTAGGGGTCAGACTCTCACCAAGACGTTTCCTTTTATTTATTTTTCCCTTAAGTAGTTTCACTCATGCCATGATAGTCTTTACCAAAAGGACTTAACTCTGCCGGAGCTGATGCTGAGCATTTTAAATGATGGGATCCACATCCTGTGGGAGCAGTGGCTTGATGCCAGCGTTGAATTACTATTGAATAAGCAGCAATGAAATCTTTATCAAAATAATCAGTAGTTCCAAAAACCACAAATAACAACAGGAGCCGAGTTGTACTAAATCAGCAAAGGCCATTGAGATATAATAAGAGACTGAGTCACTTTTCTCTACATCCCGCCTCTTGCAAAGTCTACTGGGCTATTTTCTTGCACAGCCTGGGGGAGGGCAGGTGGAGGGAAGGAAGGGCATTGCTCAGAAAAGAAAAAAAAAAAAATTGACATCACATAAGTCACATGATCACCAAGAACCAATCAAGATGGGCTGTGGAAAGGGGAACAGTTAAATTTGTAATTTGGGTTGTGTGAAAACTTCTTTGGGCCTCATAAACAACCACAGAACCACAAGTTGGGTAGCCTGGCAGTGTCAGAAGTCTGAACCCAGCACAGTGGTCAGCAGGCAGGACTAATCACACTGAATGCAAACCACAGGGTTTCGCAGCGCGGTGAGCATCACCAACCCACAGCCAAGGCGGCGCTGGTTTTTTTTGTTTTTTTATTATTTTTTTTTAATCTTTAACAATTTGAACATTTGTTTCCACAAGGTGCATTTTTTTCATAGGGCTTGGGGAGTCCCAGAGGTATCCAGCAGGGGGGAACAAGAAAGAGAGATGCAGGTTAGGGGGGTGAGGCTGAAACAGTGATCTTTCTTGGTTTTCCCTCCGAAGGTAAGAGAAATCATTGAGTCCCCCGCCTTCAGAAGAGGGTGCATTTTCGGGAGGAAGCGATGGCTTCAGACAGCATATTTGAGTCATTTCCTTCGTACCCACAGTGCTTCATGAGAGGTGAGTACACGCTGGTCTTGTAATAATGTACTTTTGCTCAGCTTTGCCTGTAATGAAATGGCAGCCTGTTTCACCTCGGTGCAGAGATGCCTCGGTGCCTGCTGGTTCCCTGTCTGGTTTGTGGGCGGAATTCGAACTGAGGCATATGATTACAAAGCTATTGGATTACTTACTCATCAGATGGAAGCTCTTCAGAAATGTTTTAATAAATACTTAGTTACGCTGTTGGAGTGTTCGGTCGGTGCGTGAGAACTTTGTCAAGTGAGAGTAAGTTGTGCTGGTCTTGTTTAAAGGCTTAGAGATTATGAACCTCGCACGAAGCTCCCTGGGTTTTATTTTGCTGTCCCTTGCCCGGAATGACTGTGTCTGAGTTATTCTTCACTCGGCACGCTGTGTGGCCCAGAATGCAGCCTGCCCCGGGGCTTAGCAGGCACATGCACAGAGCCAGCCAGGAGTGCTGGTGCCAGTGTGGGGCAGGAGACGGAGGCTGTCGGATAGACTTGCGCTGGGCTGGTGACTTCGGGTCCAAAGTGGCAAGGCAGCTGTCTACCAGGCAGAGAGTACAGGAGCCTGACAGACTGGGTTAGGTTGAAACCATCAGCATGGAGCTGTGCTGTGTTTTTCCTTGCAGCCTCAATGCAAAGAGGCAACCAGCATCTTTTAAGAGAGAAAGGAGGCAAATCGTGGCATACTGAGGTCTCTCTGGAAAAGCGCAAAGAAGTCTCCTAAGTTAAACAGTCTCGCAGCTTAAGTCATTAGATTACAGGCTTATGAATGGGAACAGCCAGGGTGGAAAACCGGTCTCCATTTTTGAAACCAGTCTCTTGAAATGCACAAAGCTGTGGTTGAGCCGTGAGTGTGTGTGTGTGCATGTCCGTTTTGTGTATCTTCCGTGGTAAAAGAGGGCTGTGCTTAAACAAACAAAAATAATAACAGACAATGTCACAAAGGCATCGCCATGTGCGTCAGGGCACGCACTCTCACCAGTGCCCACCAAGCGTGGCTTGATGGTTTGGCAGGGCTGAGATGGAGTGGGCTGGGATGGGGGAATAATTAATTTTCTGGCTACAAACTCTCTCGAGCACCCAAATAGTGTCTGTGACTCATTATTTATTCATACAGCTAAGTGAGCAGGGGAATGCAGAGGCCTTGCCAGCCACTTTATCACAGCAAATGCTATTGTGAATGCACAGAGCTCTATGTTTCCGGGTCTCTGAAATTTAAAAAAACTTGACATGTGTGTGTGTGTGTGTGTGTGTGTGTCTGTCTGTCTCTCTCTCTGTCTCTCTCTCTGTCTCTCTCTCTCTCTCTCTCTGTGTGTGTGTGTGTGTGTGTGTGTGTATGTCTGTCTCTCTCTCTGTGTGTGTGTGTATGTCTGTCTCTCTGTCTCTCTCTCTCTCTCTCTCTCTCTCTCTGTGTGTGTGTGTGTGTGTGTGTGTGTGTGTATGTCTGTCTCTCTCTCTGTCTCTCTCTCTCTCTCTCTCTCTGTGTGTGTTGGGGATGGCAAGGGAGAAGTTAAGGAGAACGGGAAGAAAGCGAGTCATTAACCAAGTTCGAGCTTCAAATTAAAGAGTTTTCAAGTGCTTCTTTACTGGCAGAGGGAATTTTAGTGAAGTTGAATCACGCAGACGCGCATTAGTCACTTGTCTTGCAGCACCGTTCAGTTGGTAACACAGAGACACAGGCCACTGGTGAAAAGCTGCAAACAGCCCCCTGGCTGCATTTCCTCTGGGCTGCTAACAAGCAGAGGAAGCAATATTATTCGTAGAATAACAGGGAAAAAAAAAAAGATCTTCCTGCCTTTGCTCTGCTTTCAATACCCCCTTGGAACATGTATTGTTTCCTATTTTATCAACTCAGGAAGGCAGATTCAGGAAATTTTTAAGCATTCCGCTCAGAGATATGTTGCATTTCAGTGTGCAGTGCCAGCTTCTGGGGCTCTTCTTACCGGCTAACAGCAAAGACGGTGAGGGGACACGGTGACCTGTGCAGACATCAGGAGATAGCAGGAGTCCAGCTCCCTCCTGGACAAGCCCAGGGTTCCTGTGCCAAATGGACCGACACTCAGCTGAGCTGCCCCAGGTTGGGAATGAGGGTCAGTTAACTTTCACGAGGGCAGTGTGGGGAGGAGCTGAGCTCTCACCAAGACTCAAAAGGGCTAATCTGGAAAGGTTTCTCCACTCCTTCCTTTCAGTGTAAGGAATCCGGGGCCCTTTAGAATCTCTAATTTGATAATATAGTATTGAGATTTAATGTCAGAGGGCCAAGTGAAATCTTGACAATTTCCCGGTTAATTTCATCCAAGTGATCTATCAACATAAATTGTCCCGTTTACCTGTCCACGTCATTCACCTGAGCTGGAGAGGTGGCAAAATATCATTTCTGTTGGTATTGTTTGGTCATCATCTTAGAGCCTGATGCTAGAACAATCACCACCCCCACCAACAAATGGCTCTCCCCCACAGTTCTCAGGCTGTCACTGTAGCTGGGCTACTCACAGTGGTCAATGCCGTCATTTCTGGCGGCCTATAATTTACAGCGTGTGTTACCTCCCCAACGGCAACCGTGAGCTGAAGGGGAAGACAGCATCTTTGTTTTCTTCCTGGGATGGTACTTTATCAGTCCATGCAATTCTCACAGAAGGAAAACTGTAACTCATTTTTAGCAAGATACCCATGTGGAAATTCAGGGGAAAGAGAGGAGTGAGGCCAAGTAAACCATTGTGCCCTTCCTTGAGAGAGGCAAGCCGGAGTCTGAGAGACTGGCACATGAAATTGATGTGGTCTACCACAGAGAACTCGGGGCTTTTTCTATCACACCGCACCAGGTTCCCACTGAATTTGCTTAGGAGAGAAGACAAGATGCTATTGAAATTCCTGGAATTATCACACATGGTGTGCAATGTACAATTCTTGCTGAACCCAAACTTGGGTCCCCTTGAAAAGTGCAGTGTGTCGGCGGAAAGAGTTGAGGTAGGTGTGGGGAGGAAAAGCCTCCGTACGTACATATTTTTTGCAAATTGCCTCAGGTAGCCTTGTTCTTAGAAGTGGCTTAGTGGTCTGTGCAAAGCCTGAACACTCACATGCTTCTGTGTTCCTAGAACCACAGGTAAAAATCTCAGCGAGACTGACTCCCTGCTTGTCTTCTCAGTGGTTCGTTTACCCCACTCCAGCAGGCTTTCAAAGGGAGTTGCCGAGTACAAAGCTGCATGTATGAAGTGTGCTCTTCTCTGAGCATCAGTTTGCTGCTCTTTTCAGAAGAATCTTTATTAAGACACTTCTTCTGGCTTGACTGAAGACTTAAGATTTCAGGCTTAAGCCACAGAAATTTACTTTCGCACACTTCTGGAGGCCGGAGGTTTGAGATCAAGGTGTCAGTAAGGCTGGTTTTTCTGGTGATGCCTCTCCCCATGGTTTTGCAGACAGCTGCCTTCTCTCTGTTTCCTCACATGGTTATTTCTCTGTGTGTGACTGTGTCCAAATCTCTTCTTATAAGGATACCAATTGCATTGAATTGGGGCTACCCCAATGACCTCATTTAAAACCTTATGTCCAAATAAGTCAAATTATGGGCATCTTTGAGTTAGGACTTCAATACATGATCTGGGGAGACATAGTGCAGTCCCTAACAGTGGGTCTTAGCAAATCTGTCTCACCCTGGACCACAAGGAAACTGTGGGCTGGGGCATCCTGGCTGCTCTCCTGGATGTTGAAGAATCAGACTCTGGTTCCTCATTTGTAAGATGGAGTTTCGCATCTGAAACTGCCCACACATTTTGAAACTATATTTAAAAAAAAGGTGTGATAAAGCTATCTACATTTACAATCATGCCTTTGCCATTTAGACTTTTTGCATGCTAAGAAACTTTAGAAAATGATAGAGTAACTTTGAAATGTTTAAGTGTTAAAAGAGCAAATGGTATTCCTCCCCTCCCAAAGAAACCACCTTTTGCCTCTGCTTTCTTGGAGGGGATTGTCTTTGTGCCTCAGACTCATTTTACTAATGGGGTTTGTAGGAGGCCCCACAGCTGCTCACACACCAAGTACAGGGACAGGGAGCAACCAGTAGCAGAAGCACCCTCGGAAACAGCAGCAGAAGCACCCTTGGAAACAGCCGCTGATTCGATTTTGAATGGCAAGAAGCCTTTTAAAGCTTTTGAAAGCAAATGAGTAGCTGAAAGTTTCCTCTGTTCTCTCAAAATAGATCCGAAAGTAGTGCTCAGAAAAGATGTGGCCCTTTACTGAGAGATCGAGCCCAGTGAGATGCTGGGACCAAGGAGGGCTGCACAGCTCCTGTGTACACACAGACTTTAATAAGGAGCCTAAGGCCTAGGGGGAAGTCTGGAGGCACAAGGGCACCTGCTATTAGAGAAAGCAATGGCAGGAGGTCTGCGCGGGGAATGTGCCGTGACACAGTGATGGCCTTTTCTTTCTTTTCCTGTGTTCTGGCTTTCATCAAATGGCATGTAGAGCTTCTCTCTTGAGCCTTAGTTTCCTCATCTGCAGAGTAAGGGTAGCAATAGTACCTGTTATTAAGGTAGCTGTGTGGACTGAATTAAATAATTGGTGTAAGGAGCTTTGCCTGGCCATATAAAAAGCAATAAATCTGAACGGTGGGCTATCAATGTTGTTATCTAAGATGGCAGCTGGTCAACCTGTGTCTGCTTTAGGGAGGGAGAGCTTGCAACGCCCTGGAGGACATTATGGGAGGTTCCCTGGAGAGAGGGACACAGGAGTTGGGGGAGGGGAAGGTGGGAACAAAGAAGAGAGGGAAGGGTGGTGTAGGCTGAGAGTATAGTCTGGGCAAAGTTAGAACTGCAGGATCCCACATGGGCGTGGACAGAGGTGGGTAATTCACCCCACCCTAAGGGCTTTTCAACAGCAGATCAGCCTTCCTTCCCCCGTGACTACCCATGAAGACGGTGGAAAAAGAACAAGAGCCCTTTATGAAATTCGACTTAGCAAGTTTTGCTTTTGTATATGGAAGCTAACTGGGGCACG